CGGCTGTGGGTAAGCTGGGCCCTCCACCCCACACCCCAGCCTGTCTCCCCCGTGGGCTCGCTCTGCTTCGACCCCAGGCTTCCCCGAAATGCGCTATAGTGTCAGGTCACAACTGGAGCCACCCCTGACGCTGCCAGATGCCCATGGAGGGTCTCGTTCAAGGACAGGGTGGCAGAGAGTGGGGGTGACTGGGGAAAGGACGGGGAAGGAGGTAGTCTGGGTGCAGGGTTCGCGTCAGCACACGAGTCTGGAGACAGCGGGACAAAGTGCGGAGTGGAAGCCCAGGGCTCAGCGCTGCAGGGGGAGCTGTGCCTTCCCTCCCCACTTGCGACTGCGAACGGGGACAGGCACAAGCACCTGGAGCCCTGGGGGCCGGCCAGGTCAGGAGAAGGGCTGAGCCTGTCTGGAATCGGCAACGAACTGTCCAGCTGGACCCGGGAGGCTGCTGGCCTTCGACTTCAGGGATCCGAGGTCTGAGGTGCCGAGGGGACGGGCCTGGCCAGCCTCCCCAGGGTGAGAGGCACCTCCCGGCTAGGGAGCTGACCAGTCCTCATGGGGGCCCAGAGCAGCCAGCCAGGGAGGGTGAGGGGACACTTGGACAGGGTGTGATGGCAGCCTGCAGTCCCCTTCCACGGCACCCACTGTCCCGTTTCTCCCTCCTGCCCCCTCCTGCCCTCGCAACTCCATCCTCACTCTCCTCCTTCCCTCTCCTGGGTCCCTTCCCTTCCTCCTTCTCTTGTGAGGGATAAGGCACAGCTAGTCCCTGGCCCACCTGAGTGACTTCCTGGAGGAGGCACGCTTCCCAGAGCCTTTTTGTTTTCTACAGGGACATGAGCTCCCTGGAGAGAGACAGAGAAAGAAGGAAAGAGAGAAAGCGCCCCCTACGGGAAATAATCACGCTGCAGTTGTTTCTCGTTTTCTTTGGGGAGATCTTGGGCACACTCACACATGCCCAGCATATTTTTCAAGCCCCTGCTCTGGGACTCTGCCGCCAGTTCTCCAGGCGATTCCAGTGTCCTGAGGCTTTTTTTTTTTTTTTTTTTTTTTTTTTTTTTTTTTTTTCGGGGTGGGCGTCTTGCCTATAGGGCGCGTGCGCTTGCCAGACAGAGAGAGACAGACAGAAAGCGAGAGATCACCCCCCGGGGTGATGGCCACACCGCAATCCCTTCTCCTCCATTCTCCTCTCGGGATCTTGGGCACGCACGCACACACGCGCCCGGCGTGAGTTTTAAGCCACCGGGTCCGGGACACGGACCACGGTCGACTACGTGGGAGTCCGGCGACATAGCCATTACGCCAACTGCTGGTTCCAAAGGCTATTTTTGGACAGTCCGGTGTGACTGGGCCTCTTGGTCCCGCCCTTTCTCCCCCAGGCATCAGGTACAACGCCACCGTGGACGAGAGGCGGTACGCGCCGCGGGCCCACCTGGACGAGGGCGGGGACCGGTACACCGGCAGGGCTGTCCTGCTGTCCTCTGGCCAGGAGCTCTGCGAGCGGATCAACTTCCACGTCCTGGTGAGCCGCAGCCCCACCGGCAGTCGGCAGTCGGGGCCCCAGGGAGGGCAGTCGGGACAGGAGGTTCCCGCGCACCCGCCAGGGTGACTCAGGGCCCCAGAGCCCTCAGGAGGCCGACCAGGCAGCAGCTCCAGACCTGGGCCGCCCCAGCCCGCACCTCATGCCCAGAACAAAGGCTGCTGGGACGCACTAGCCACCAGCCTGCGGCCCCCGCAGAACCCTTTCCTCCCAGCCCTCACGCAGGTCTCCTCAGCAAAGGACGGGCCAGGCAAGCCGGCTCAGCAGGTCCCGCAGAGAGAACTGGGGGCCGGCCGCAGTGGCTCAAAAGGAAGAGTTGACGGGTCGGGGACCAGGGAAGGCAGGCAGGCCATGGGAGGAGCAGTGGGCCCTCCTGGCGGGGAGGAAGCAGGGCAGGACAGTGGCAGTGCCCCCCAAGGACAAGGAGGAGCAGAAGGGGGTCTCCAGCCAGAAATCCCAAACACACTGCTTCAGTCTAGGATGCCAGCAGGGGGCGCTCAGAGCCCACCTGGCCCCAGTCATCAGTGGCCAGAGCTCAGAGGTCAGAACACATGCCCATGGCCAGGAGGTGGCGTACTGGTTAAGGGCCTTTGCTCCCATGTGGAGGACCGCAGTTCAAGTCCCAGACCCAGGGGCTTGAAACACGCCAGGCACATGTGCGTGCTTACCAAAACTTCTGAGAGGACAATGGAGAAAGGATTGCGGCGTGGCCATCCCCCCTGCGGGGGCGATTTCTTGTCTTCTGTCTCTCTGTCTCTGTCTCTCTGGTGAGTGCATGTGCCCTATGGCATAAACCTTTAAAAAAAAAAAAAACATGCCCAGCTCTGACCTCTGTGTGCTGGACTCCACTGCAGACGCGGGGCTGGGACCTGTCAGCAGCGTGCGTTTCCAGCCCCAGACCCTCCGACTCAGAGACCAGGCCGGGCCCAGCACTCGTGCTGACCAGGCCCTGGGGTCGCAGGTGCCCGTGCGGGTGGGACAGCCACGCCTCCCTCAAGGAACCACTTGTGGCAGGAACGCGGGTTCCCAGTGGAGGGTTTCAGGCTCCTCTCAGCACCCCTTTTTTGACCACCATGCTGGGGACCAGCCTGAACCACCCCCACCTCGCTCCCTGCCGGCGTCTTCAGTAATTCACAGTATGCCCGACCACAGGTAGGGCTGTGCTAAGAGGCCTCTCTCCTACTCCTTGCGGGGCGGGAGGACTGGCACGTCGATGGCTCTAATGCCACGAGAGAGGTGGCGGTGACAGGTGTGGACAGAGTCGGTGGCTGGGTCGGAGCCAGGGGTGCTGCAGAGACTGAGGGCCCAGGCACAGGGCCCAGCCCCGAAGAGAGCCCGGTGGGCAGAGTTGGGCCAGGCCTCCAGCAGCTCTCCCCCACACCCAAGCAGGCTCCTCAGGGCTCCTCAGGGCCCCGCAGGACAGCTGCCCTCGCGGCTTGGGGATGGAGCGTTGGCTCAGTCCGCCCGCACTCACCCCGCTCGTCTCCGCACAGGACACAGCGGACTACGTGAAGCCAGTAGCATTCTCGGTGGAGTACTCCCTGGAGGACCCCGACCACGGCCCCATGCTGGATGACGGCTGGCCCACCGCCCTCAGGGTCTCGGTACTGTCGCTCAGTCTCTGCATAAAGCCCTCAGTCAGGTTACCGGGTTACCAGGCAGGCGAACGCCGCCCCGCCCCGAGGGTCTCAAGGCAAGGTGGGGGTAGGGGGTGCAGGCTGGCAGCTAAGGCATGCGCTCAGAGGAAGGGGAACCGGGCTCAGATAAGCACCTTCCCTGGAGGGGCCGGAGCACTCCCAGCACCAGTGCCCCAAGGCCAAACTCAGCTTACCCCTGTGCGTCCCTGGATCCAGAGACCATCCTTCCAGACACCAGAAAAGAGACTGGGCCGGCATCCTCAGCCCCGACCACCACCGGGCCGCCAGCCCGCCTGGGGGTGCTAGCCTGGTGCCCTCTCCACGCCCACTTCCACGCCAACACCGCCATCGCGTCCCTCAGGGGCTCCTTGCAGGTCTCCCAGCCAGGGCCCTTCCCGTGCACCCTCTGTAAGAGTCTGCTATCTGCAGGTCCGGCAGGGCTGCCCTGCCTATAGCACCCACTGACTCCTATCAGGTGCAAGGCTTGTCCCCAGGGCCCTGTGATGACCCTGCCATCTCTGCACCTGCTCCACCCCACGTCCCCTCCCACAGCAACCCTGAGCTACCTGTCACTTCCCAGACCCAGAACTCTGCCCTCCAAGCCTTCCCTGACTTATTACAGATTGTCCTCCTGCTCCCACTCCCCATCCGTAGCCCTCGGGGCCCTCTAGCACGTCTCCCTGTGGTTGTCTGTCCACACTCCAGCCTCCCCGTGAGCTGAGGGCTGAGCTGGATCACCCTCACCCCGGGCCCTAGTCCCACACATGTGAGCGGTGCATGTGGGCCGGACCGTCCTGGGCTGCGTGGGGAGTTCTTGATGCCAGCATGCTCACAACTGCAGGGGAATCTGGAGCTCAGCTTTGAGCCATGTTTGAAGAGGGAAGTATTGGGCCGGCCCCATGGCCTGCTGGCTAAGGGAACCGGTCCCACATGACCGACTGCGCGGTTCAAATCCCGGACCTGGCAGCTAGAAAGGAAAGAAGGAAGAGGAAAGAAGAAAGGGATAAGAAAGAAAAGGAAGGAAGGAAGGAAAAGAGAGAGAAAGACTGTCCATGCACAAGCTGGGGAAGCATCGTGGGGGAGGCAGAGACAGCAGGCCGGCCACGGCAGAGGCGGGTGCGGTGCCAGACCCCCTGCTCAGGACCCACGCGCCCCTCCCTGCCCAGGTGCCCTTCTGGAACGGCTGCAGCGAGGACGAGCACTGTGTCCCTGACCTCGTGCTGGATGCCCGCAGTGACCTGCCCACGGCCATGTGAGTCCTGAGCCTGTCCCTTCACTGCTGGGGCCCTGGACCATTCGCTGCCATCTCTTTCATAGACAGCGTGGACCAGAGCCCGGGCTCTGCCTGAGTCTTGTACGACATCAGGCAAGTCCCCCCTCCTCCCTGGGCCTGTTACTGCCTCTGTGAAAGCCTCCTACAAGCATATTCCTACAGGTCTAATCCAGCCTCCTCAGAGTTTGTCTAGAAATGAAATCCTTGCTTTGGAGCCCATACTACAAGACAAATAAAAGGCAGGTGGGGCCAGCATGTGGCATAATGTTAAGGTGTTGGACTCCCACAGGGCCGACCGTGGTTCAAGTCTCAAACCCAGCAGCCTGAAACTCATACCTGGCACATGTATGTGCGTGCCCAAAATCTCAAGAGGAGAATGGAGGAGAGGGGACTGAGGTGTGGCCACCCCCCCCCGGGGGGTGATTTCTCACTTTCCCTCTCTCTGTCTCTCTGGCAAATGCACACGCCCTATAGCAAAAATCTCTCTCTAACGAGAAAAGGTAGGGGCACCCAGAGAGCCAAGTCCTCCAGGCCTCAGACCAGGTGACCCCTAGGTCCTCTGGCTAACACCAGGGCCTTCCAGTTCTTCCGAGGGAAAGACGCTTTGAAGGAGACAGGCAGAGGAGGACCGGGGGTCCTGGAAGACACGAACTAGCACACAAGGAAAACTAGTGAATACTACCTCGCTTACATTTATGTATTTCCCAATAATTTATGCTCAAGTTTTATCCAATTGTAAGGTGATTTGGATGAAAGCAAAAACAAAAAACGTATACCATGACATAGACAGTAAGTAGAAATAACACATCCAAACCTCTTAGAAGGATAAATAAGCAAATATTCTAACATCTAGGTTAATGATCAGGATTGCCTCTACAAGTCGTTCCGAGTTCCCTGGCAGCCAAAGTCTAAAGGGAAACGTGATGAGTGGTGTGAAAGAGGTACATTCTGCAGTAAGGAATGTATCTTTAGGGCAGGAGGTGGTCTTGAAGGGGGAGTTCATTCTACCCCTGCCATCTTCTTCCCTTCTTTTCACGGCTGGCTGTTCCCACACCAGAGGCCAGACAAGGTCCAGGTCCATCTTTCCACACCAGCCCTGGGGCTCCCTCTGCCTCTGCTGTTCCATCAGTCTGATCCCGGGTGGTCTTTTGCCGCAGGGAGTACTGCCAGAGGGTGCTGAGGAAGCCTGCCCAGGACTGCTCCGCATACACGCTGTCCTTTGACACCACGGTTTTCATCATAGAGAGCACACGCCGGAGGGTGGCGGTGGAGGCCACGCTGGAGAACAGGGGCGAGAACGCCTACAGCACGGTCCTGAATATCTCGCAGTCCTCAAACCTGCAGTTCGCCAGCCTGATCCAGAAGGTAGGCCGCAGAGACCTGCCCTGTCTGGCTGAGGCAAAGGGTATTCAGGGCAGGGAGTCTCCGGGGTCCCACACAGTGGGTTCTGGGAGCCTGTAAAGCCTGCGTGCACACCCCTGCACAGCCCTGAGTGACTCGGTCTGGGTGGAGCCTGCTTCAGGTGCTTTGAAAGCTCCCTAGGGGCCGCCAGGGCATAACCAGGGCCCAGAGCCCTCCTGTCTGGGAGGCCAGGCAGGAACGTGGGGAGCAGCCTGCAGCCTGTGTCCTGGCCTGCGGTGGGACACGCACTTGCACACACACCACACGTGCGCCCTTCCACCACAGCTCACTCTCCAGGCCTCCTAAGAGGGTCCTGCTAACAGGCCAGGAACTGCTCCTCCCTCTAAAATTGCCGGTCCCTCCCAGCTGCTTTCCCGACCAATCCCGGACCCCTCCTTGTGGTGGGCCCTCCATGACCCAGGGAGGGCGTGCTGGGGCTCGTCCCTGTGGCATGGATGAGCTTTGTAAGTGAGCCCAGCAGAGGCATGCTCTGAGAAGCCCATGTCCCCACACGCGTGGTGGGTGCAGGGCCCGCTGGTAGGATGCCATCCCCGAGAGGTCACCCACCTCAGGCCAAGGAGAACCCAGAGGAGGAAGCACCCCTCTCAGCCCAGTGCAAACATGTTAAGCCCGACCGCACACCCCTTCACACACACAGCACTGCAGTCTGTTGATTCAAACACACACTCCAGGCACGCGCACACACACCCCAACACGCAGGCCCCCGAATCTGCAGAGAAGTGTGCTCACACGCCGGCATGCAGAGGCATGGCCCAGGCAGTGCCCAGCAGCATGGAGCCAGCAGGTACCCGCGGCCATTGTCCTGGAGCGGGGGCATGAGCGTGACCACGATGCCCAGACACGGAGCTGGGCCTGCGTGCACCTGCGTCCTCTCACTCCCTCCCCAAGCAGCTAAGTGAGCTGCCCCTGGCCGCACTCCGACAGACGAGCGGAGTGAGACACCACCGTGGGTACACAGCCACCGTGGTGGCCGGTGGGGCCTCCCAGCCTGTGCCAAGGGTCGCCGTGCTAGCCCAGAGCAGCCGGTCCAGGCCCCTGAAGCCCACCCCTGCCCCAGTGCCACGGCCGGCCGGGGCGGCTCTCAGTCCCGGGGGGCGGTGCCGAGCAGGACCTGCTCTCCCTGCCTGCCAGCTGCGGGCTGGGGGCTGCCTGACCCTGGAGCCAGCCCTGCTGGGGAGGCCCGCCCACACCCACTGTTTCCAGACTGCAAAGTCACGTGGGACTGTGCAGCCCCACTTCTGGGCTCAGAGGGCCTTCTCCGCCCCATGGAGGGCGGTCACTCACGAGATGCAGGACTGCAGGACTCGAGCCAGAGACTGGGGAGTGCTTCCAGGTGGGGACAGCGGGCGTTGGCGTCCTGTCACTTCCAGCTGCCCTAGCCCAGCGCCGGCTCTGAGCCTGCGTGTCCCCACCTGCGTGGGTTAAGTCCCGCATGATCCGACAGTGACAGAGCACATCCACAAGCACCCGCCCACTCCGTCTGAGTGCAGGCCGTGTGTGGCCCAGCAAGCCCCTCCCAGCCCCCCAGAGCCTCTGGTCCCAGCGGTGGAAGGCCAGCTCCAGGCCTCTGGCTGGCGGGCGGATGGGCGGGTTCCCTGGTGGGTCAGGCCTGGCTAATGGCTCCCCACGTCCTCCCCGACCCCAGGACGACTCTGACGGCAGCATCGAGTGCTTGAAGGAGGAGAGGAGGCCCCACAGGAAAGTCTGCAACGTCAGCTACCCCT